CCGTCGGGTCCCGGGTCACAAAGCCGGCGGCTCTACCCGGAGCCCCTGGGGCGCCGCAGAGGATCTCGCCGCCGGCGGCCTCGCCGCGCCGCGGGGCGATGGGGGGGCTGCGGCGGGCGGCGGGCCGCACGCCGAAGCGACCCCGCGGACCAGCACGCCTGGAGGCGGCGGCGGAAGCGACGGCGGAAACGCGCGGGGCGCTGAGGCCCGGCCCGCGTGGCCGGGGTGGGGGCGGGGGCGCCCCCTGCGGCTACGCGCCAACGCCGGGCCTCGGCGGCCTTTCCGCCAGGGGCGCCCGCGGAGGGGCGCGCGCGGCGCCAGGGCTCCCCGGGGAAGAGCCCGTTTCCCTCTGTCGCTGTCTTAGAGCTTGATTTGCCCCTTTCAGACCATGTGGGCCTTTCATTTGCATATTTACCAATTATAGACAGAAAACGTGTCCAAGATGAAGTAAGCAGTTTCCTTTCGGTTCCCTGACGGGAGTGGAACTAAGTCTCTGCACCCGGGACCGCCCACCCCCCGTTCCCAGCATTCGCACACACCCTCAATCGGCAACGCGCTCCGTACCCGTGTTCAGCGGTAAAGAGCCTCACGCCAACCGCAACCGCAAATCCAGGCTGCGCGAGGGGTAGGGCACCTTAACCACTCCCTCGCGTGGCAGGCGGGAAAACTTAGGCCCCGACTTGGGGGCCACAGCCCCTTCAGTCTGGTGCCGCTCCCAAACCCATTCTTTCCCCATAGGGTGGGACGAAGCTCTTTGTCCACATGGGGCTAAAGAGGGATTTGTGGAAAACGGTTATCTAAGAATTCGTGAAAAGTTAAATAGTCTGCTTCCTTCGGCCCTCCTAAGCTAAGGGCTTGATGCATACATTTAACCACCCACAGACGAGAGCCTAGAAAGTATCTGCACTATACCATGGGATGACTCTCAAAGGGCTCTGAGTTGGGCACCCCATTCCCATACAGTACAAACGTGGGGAGTGGTCAAATCACCCACATGCTCTCCAGCCTCCATGCTTTCCCCTTACTAGAACCTTCCCCCTGCCTCTCCCTATCCCTTCCAACACCCTCCACCTAGATACTTGCCATTAATTACGGTGCTGGCTGAAGCCTAGCTTTGAACATGGCTCTTTTCCAGGGCTGAGTCTTGGACCCCTCTCCTCTTCCCACCTAGATCAGTGCTGTCCAACTGAAACATAATGAGAGCCACAAAAGCAAAACCTGGATGTTCCTTAAATTTTCAAGTAGCCACATTTTAAAAAGTTAAAAGAAACTGGTAAAATTTTAATCATATATTTTTTATTTAATTGAACGTATCCAAAATATGATCATTTCAACATGTAACTGATATAATATTATTAATGAGATAGTGCACATTCTTTTATACTTAGAGCCCATCTAAATTCAGAGAAGGCACCGTTTAGTTGCTTAAGAGCCACATGTGACTCGAGGTTACTGTATTGGACAGCACAGTTCTAGACTCTCTCCCAGGCCAGCTCACCATGACCTTGACTGTAATCAGCCTGCCAAGGAGGCATACATTTTATCTCAGCGCTGACGTCTACTCTGAGCACGAGGCTATATACCTGCGCTCTTCAGCCTCCTACCCCTCATGCCTGCATTCCTTCTGCCACCCACCAATCTATCCTCACACTGCAGTCGCATGAGTCTTTTCAAAACACAGACCTGACTATTGTCACTTAGCGTATCATTTTTCTTTTTTGCTCCTGGGATGAAGACCAAACTCTTTTATAGGGCCCCGGATGATCAGGCTCTTCCGACCACTACTGGCCTCGCCCCAGGCTTGCCCAGGTCCCAGTGTTCCAGCCTCAGTGGCCTTTGAACATGTCAGTGCTGTCCTTCCACACGGCCATTGTCCTCTCTGCCCCCTATCCAGATGCTCTGTCTCCACTCCAACCTACCCACCCCCAGTCTGGCTAATTCCAACTCACTCATCAGACACCAAGGTGGTCTTCACTTCCTCATGGAGGTTCTTCTGGAGCCTCAAACCAACTCTACCTTCTTATTATAACACCATCTGAGCCTCCTGCATAGCACCTGCTGCACATACAATTTTATAATTAGTGTGATTGTGTTGATTGACACGTGCCTCCCCCACTAGACTTAAACGCCATAAGGGAAGGGATGGTGTCTGATTTTGCTCACCCTATGTCTTCCTTGCATGGCTCCTGGCACATAGTTGGAGCTCAGTAAACATGTGTTGAAGATATCAACAAGTCTACTGTGTTCTGGTTTAAAGAATCACAATAAAATTAGTTGACACTTATTAGCATTTTTATTGCCCCAAGCATTACCATTTTATAGATTAGGGGAATGGGGCTCAAGTGGGTGAAGGAACTTGCTTCAGGCACACAGCTCGTCAGCAGTGGAGCCAGAATTTGAACCCTAGAAGTCTGGCTCCAGAGTACATACTCTAAACCATCATGCTGCATTAAACTAGTCAATTTCCCTATCTATAAACAAGGATACTGAATTTTTTTAAAAAAAGGAGAAGAAGAAATCCAGGGAGACCAGAGGAGAGAATGAATGTGGAATGATTCAGTAAAACATAAAGTTCCGTACCTAGCTTCAGTTTCTTGATGCAAGAAGTGAAGAAGTCGGAGAAGTTGGTGCCTAAGGCCCCTTTCAGCTCTGGAATCCTGACTTCTCTTATATATCTAAATCCTTATAGGAGCCTTTTTAAGATTAAAAAAAAAACAACCTCCTAGACACATAAACATTATCATTAATGAACAGTGGGTGATGGGTACAAAGATTCTGCCATGGTTCCCCCAAAATCACACTTAATGGTAGCAGCTTTGGCCTTGGATTTCCCAAAACACAATAGGAGGCAAGATGAAAAGTCCTGTTTATGTCCAGGGTTCACTCGTAAGGTAGTTCTTATGGATACTGTTATATAGTAAGAAGATTGCAAGCGGAGAAAGAGAAAATGGAATTGTGCTGTCTGAAGGCATTTGCTCCAACAAACTGGTCTGGATATTGGTGGGGATAATGGTGGGGCAGCAGCCGCTCTAGCTGAGTTCCTATGTCAGATGACAAGAGGGGAGAAAACAGACACCAGCCATCTCAGCAGCTGGAGGGACTCCCTCCTTCCCCATCAGAGGATGGGCCATGTTGGTCCATATAGGGTTCAGAAGATAACCCTTCTAGACACTCTTCGTGTCAGCAGCCAATAGTAATAATCACCATTTACAGTACTGACAGTTTGCTATGCCCTAGGCACTGTTAATCGTTTAGGTAACATTTCTCACAACAAAAGTCTTGTTAGCCTTGTTTTCACATGAGGAAGCTGAGTGTGTTTACCTGACTTCCCTGAGGTTACACATCTAATGGGATGGAGTCTGAATTCAGATCCAAGCTGCCCAACTCCAAGCATGACCTAAAGGAAGCCATCAGATGGCTTGTTTTGGCACTGACTCAGCGGGTTCTCCTGCGGTGCAGAAGTAATAGTAATTACTTGAGTTAAACACATACAATAATATCCCCAGGCAGGCAACCAAAAGGCCAACCTATTCCTCTGAAGTTGTAAAGACAAAATTCATAACACTCTACACAACATCAAGGTTGAAGAGACTGCTCCTCTGGAGCCACCAGGGGCCGTATCTGTTGCTGCCACAGCCACTTAACCAGGTGGAAGTGTTGGGGCTATGATCCCTCCTGAGGCTCTTCTTGTGTTTTTTTCTTGTACCCCAGAGTCCTGTGTGTACCCATGGTGAGGACAGGCTGCTCACTCAGATGTACAGGAAAATGGCCCTGAAATGCAACTGGAAACCCCAGCACAGTAATGTCTCTAGAAGCCCCTCTTCTTTCTTTTTCCCCATGGAGCGATTATTACTCAAGTAAATTCTGTATTTCAGTGGGGGTCCTTTTATTTAGCTGTTAAGTAAAGGGAAAGGGATCCATTTTTAGATGTTTGCTTCCTTCCCTAAAAGTTCCAACTGGTTCCCCCAACCCCATTCTGTTATTACGGCTTTTTGCCACTAGACCGATCTGTGTTCTTAAAAGAAACACTATTAATAATTAATAAAGCTTCTGAGGATAAAAGCTGCCTCCTCACTACATAATATAAATAGCTAAAAGATATTGAGAGGACCAGGCATTCTTCTGAGCATGTTTAACCCTAATGACAACTCCATGAGGCAGGTGCCATTATCATCATTACCATTTTACAGATGAGGAAACGGAAGCACAGAGAAAATGAATAATTTGTTCAAGGTCAATGGCTAGTAAGTTATGGGACCTAGGATTTGAACAAAAAAAGTCAATCTTCAGAGTCCGTACTTTCACTACAATGCTGTGCCCTTGATCTTTCAGGAAGGAAGGAGCCAACAAACGTTGACCAGCACCTGAATCCTGTGAGGACAGAGGTGGTCCCACTCTCCTGTGGGTCCCAACCATCCAGCCCAGTGCCACACCTGCAGGTGCTCAGTTCAAGTTTGAACCAGGAAAGAATATCCATGAGGCATGAATGTTGAAGGTGGAACTGGAAGGCAAATGGAAAATCAGAGAATCTGAGACTCTGAAGGAATTGC